GCGGATCCGACCTTTTGCTTTCCCTTTTCGTGGAGTCGCCTTGTACTCTCTGACCACAGTACATATGAGCCAGCATCGGATGTAGAACATAATACTGAGAGGGAGTCAGTAAAGTCGTTTATGAGAACGCATCAAGTGCTCACTTCTGGCGGTCTTTCGGGTCGTCCCAGTCCTGCTCCTCGATGCCGTTTCCTTGGGATTCGCCTGACGAGCGTATTTCACCGTCTTCTATACGGCCCCATATCTTCACTCCAAATTCTTGTCCGAGCCGGAGGACGTCTTCCAAGAACGCATTCTCTTCAGCTAGATACGTATGGAGCTCTTCAATGGTGCCACGATACGACGTAGCGAACGACTTTGCTATTCCCTCAACCACTCTTTGCAGCTCGTTAGCCTTGTCGGCCTTTTCCTTGTTGACGAAGTAGCCATGTTGCTCATCGTGTAGCTTCTCACTGATCAAGCCAAGTGACTCCCAGGCATGCATCGCTTTCTTACGCTTGTTAATACAAGCGTCAACGAACGCTGCACGATCATCTTGAGAGTTGAGTGGAGGTACCATGATGGTGTGAAATAGAATGACGAATATGCCATTTCAGAAATCGGTTGGAGTGGCGAATATAACCAACGTCCCATCAACGCTCTCGTGGAGGCTGCGCGAAACAACCTGTCGTGCATGGCTGAGACTACCCGCGCATAAACGAAGTTGTGGCGTTGACGATATCCAAAAGCTGAACAAGTTCATGCGATACGCTCAGAGATGTCGCGAATAGGGTACTGATTTGCGCTGCCCAGTCGCTTGTTAGAACAAGGGACATCTTTCGACTGGTTGTGTTGCTGCTGCCTACCCGACTGTTCGCGGGCTGTGCAGGCGGCGCAGCCTCGCGACGTGCGCCAGAACCCGGCTGCGCATGCCAAATCTTGTCACAGCTCTGTCTTGGAACGAAACCTGATAGATAAGGAAATTTGAAATCGTGATTGAAGATGTCTTTGAAGATGTCTTTGGAGATGTCTTTGAATTGTTTCCAGCATCCGTGTTGGGCCTGAGGATGTACGTGGGGTGGGTAACGGCAATGGTTACCAGTAAGAGGTGTGCTCTACGCGCCACTATTCTGGAGTGTGACCGAATTCGCTACACCCAGACAATGCGATAGGATGAAAACTTCCGACCCCATCATCACCCCGGAAGCCTCGCAGTCAATGCTTGATCAGTCGTTGGCTTCGCTTCAGCCCGCAGCTGACCAACGAGGCGGCTCGGTCCGATGCCGGCCATTCTCCAGATACTTGGTAGGCGGAGACTGGTGAATTACGATGGCTTTGCTTTCGAAGCAGTAGGAATCGCTCATAAGATGCTTGCGCTTCGATTTTGCGCGCCTTCCTCTATCAAAGCCTGAAGAAGCCTCACGGTCGTATTCGTATTGTATCCAGTTTGCCGCTCAACCTCGTTCAAGACGTTCCAGATACGCGCCTTTCTTGAGATCCCATGGATATGTTTCGCGGCTGGAACGTATCAGTGACCGTTTCGCTGTGATCGAATAATAATTTGACTATGTGTAGCCGGAAGAATGGATACGTACCATAGAAGAGACCATGCGTAGAGAATACCATCAGCGATGGGGGGAAATCTGATATTGCTATGTTGGTAATCTCCATAGCCTGCTCCTGGATCAGGGGAATGTATGCCTCGTCTTGAAGCTCTGGCTCTGCATAGAGCAGGATATGTGTTATGTGATACCCTGAACCCGTTAGATTATGTTGAGCGCTACGTGCGTCTATAAACGTACAAAACGCTGTGGCGGCTGCGGCCGCCACTGGGAAGTATACTTTGCCAAAGCCATCTTCGTCTTTCTCCCCATATGAAATACCAACAAACGTGTCAGAAAGCCCCCTTCGCCACATTTCGATCTCGTGCAGGAAGCTTTGGCGCTGCTCTTTACCTGCTTCAGTTCGTCCATCTGGTCCAAAAATGAGATTGAGAACTCGCGCTAATATCCAAAGCATGTGGTTTCCCAAAATATCTTCTCTAGTCTCACCCTCTACCCAGGACACCTCCCATTCTGCAGGGTCTAGTACCAGAGGCTGCTCGCTAGCCATAGCTACAACGATCTCGTGTCGGATATAGATCCAGAAGTTGGCCAGATCAGTGCCGCTTGACTGTGCGGTAACATGTCGTGATTTGATTAATACTGTAAGGCCTAGGAAGTGTCGCCGGTAGTCTTCAGAGCGCAAGGCTCCGTGGATTTCGTAGCTCAAGAGCAGCATACTTGCGGTAAGCGCATGTTCGTGCGAAGGCATGCTCAAAGCTTCTATGAGTAGGCGCAACGATTCGCCATAATGCTTGGAAGCTGTGACTTGCCAAGAAGGATCATTGCTCGAATTGGAAAGGGCTAGATAGTTGGCGGTAAAGGCGCATACACAATGAAACAGAAGCGGCGATCTGAGGACCAGCTGTGGGATTTTGTGCTGGAAGGTGCTGGCATGATCAAAGATATCCATCCATGTTGCGACGGTGCGTACATAGGTCTGGAGTAAAAAGGCGCTTTCTGGTGTCAAGCGTACCTTCTTCGGACCGTTCGCTTCGTCGGAACCTGCTGTCGTGACACCATTAGCAGGTATGTAGTTCTGACTTGACAAAGTGTCTTCAGGCAGGTCAAGATCATTCATCCGTGTCCTAAACACGTCAACGAGAAGCGGCGCATCATTGTTTGGTTCGTCCGGTGTTGTATCGACACGAGGAGTAGCCCAGACGATCTCCTCGGATAGCTCGCAGTCGAGGTTGAGGCGTTCACAATTCCCGCATACTGGCCTTTTCTCATCGCAGCGAGTGTGACGGCGTTTGCAGGTGGCGCTGGAGCGACTCAGTCAGCCAGAAGTACAGGTTTTCGCGTTGAAAATAGCAGCCAGACGTACCAACCTTGATGCCATTAGCTTATCTCAGCATCGCAGCAGAGTTTCATAGATCACGGCACATACCTGTTCTACTGCGCGGGCCGCCTCTCCGCTTCTTTTTCAATCTTGTATCGCCACTCATTATTGGTTGAGGTGCAGTCGTAGAGTTATGAGTGGATGGCTACATAGATGCTTTCGGAGATCAGCGATCCGGCAAGTCCAGATCCGCTCTAGTGCGACGCGCCGTGCGCGTATGCGCGACATCCGCCGGGACGCCCATCGCACACGCACATCACATTTGGCAACCTTCACTTCCAAGGTTGCAATGCGGCTGTGTTCCTACTTTGATATATGACCGAGCGAAAGTCAATATATCACCACTAGTTGCAGTCGGAGAACGCCGGTTTGACGATGTCTTCATTGAGCTTTCGCGGGAGGAGCTGGTTGAACGCGCCCTGGGCGAACAAGTCAGTCACCACACGCCACTTCCAAGGGCTTACTAACCTGCCGCAGCGTCTTCTCCAAGCCGAATCAGAAGACTGCGCGCATCTTTTCAACATCCTCTGGCCGTTAGGGGACCAACTTCTACATCTGGATAGACGTGTGATCAGCAACATGGGCTGTGACGAGAAATTCCCCGTGGATACCAGCAGGTGTTTCAGGATGCTCTCGCAGCGCGCCTATACCAGCGATCATCAGCCGAAACGACCTTGTATCAATCACATGCTCGTATAGCCACCTCTGGCCGAGTATTCGCAATGCTCCTTGCACCCCACGGCGTGGGGTACGAACGTGCGAAGAGTGTACGCAAAGTTTACGAGAGTCCCCACAGTTGTTCGTGACTTTCCGAAGTCAATCTGCTCAGCTCGTTCCTCGGAGCCACTCGTTCAGACTACTATGATTCAGCATCCCTGCGACCCCTGCCAGATCTGAGGGCTGTGTACTATTCAGCTTCACCAGCTGTCTCTTTGGAGAAGACAGGAGACGTGCAAGGTCCTGCTGAGCACATCTTCACCTGCCTCAGGGAACATCGAATGTGCTCCATCCTGGCTATGGTTGTTCTTGGAATGGAACGAGATGTTGCCCGTGAGCGAAGAACAGGCCGTTGCAACGTCGGCAAAACTCACCCTCGGAGATCAAGATCAGGATCTTTCAGCAGAGCAAGAGAATGGCGCAATGGCGTTCGGCGGATTGTCGCAATCCCGATACGGCAATATTGGCTCCAAAGGGACGAGATCCAGTTACACATTGGACTAGGATCCTCGCCAGGGGAAGCCAACAGGATTTTCCGCTCGACAACGTGGGGTATGAATGGGTGAAGTATGCATGGTTGAGACATCGCGACATCTGGTAAGAATCAGCGAGCCATGACACCTGTCAGGTAGAAAAAGCAAAATGCACACCGGCCTCTAATACCGACCCTGTCCCTGACGGAGATATTTGAGAAAAACCGCATCCAACAGCTACTAGGAACGGGAGCAGCGGCACGCACGTGGATTTCTCACCGGGAATCTCGCGTTCGAGGCCGCATCGGCCAGCCGGCCCCATCTCCGCATCACTAGCGTAAACCCAATCAGCCTCACGCAACATTGGAAGTCAAGCAAAACGATCGCCCTCAGCGCCACAGTCCCTAGCAACTCCCGGTCGATCATAGGCTTGACCATATGATTTACGCAAGAAGAAAATAATGGACCGTCATTTTGTGGGACCAAGACAGATGTCAGGTTGCGAAAAGGGTCCAGTTAAGGACTCAAGGATCCCCAATCGAATGATTATTGATCACGTCTTTCTTTCTGCGAACGCGTACGACTCGTTTCGATATCGGTTCCGAATTTCTGTCAAGAATGAGGCTGTTCGCCTGTCTTTTCTTGATGCAGACGTTCGCTGCTCAAGCCCTCCCCCTACAGGTGCGGCAAGAGGATTTTCGGAACTCGAACGTTTTCATCGACAATGGCGAACTCCCACGGGATAGGTCGATCTTCACGATCATATCGCTGTTGTGCATGATGGTGTGCTCGCTATTACTGGGTAAGTTCTCCTTCCGTACCCAACCGATCTCGAGGCTAGACGATGGCCTCTGCAACATGCATCACGCCATCAAGTTTGGACCAGGCATGCGTTCACTTTCTGACACAGACCATAGGTTCGCGGTTCGAGAAACTCAAACGCCGCATTTTGAGAAAGCATCGCCTCATGTCTGCGCTTGTCTTCATGCTATACGTACTGGTCTTGATGTTCATCATCTGCTCAGCCGTTCTTGTGGCAGGCCAGGGGCTCTATACCTACGAGCTCTGCGTTGCGGGCACATGGGTCTGCTTGATCTTCTACACGCTCATCAAAGCTATCATGTAAGTGTGTATCGACGAAACCCGGTCATTTACTAACACATGGCAGCTATATCTTCTTGGTCGAACGCATCCATGTCGTCCGCGCGCCTTTCGTCAATAGGCGAAAAGACAAGATATACCTATGTTGCATGGCCATGATCGTCGTATTGTACGGTACTGTCGCCATCAACTCCTATCTCAACCATGTCACCGAGTTGCACGAATCGGACGGACGCTGCCACTTTGGCATTCGCGGCATCGCATCGATACCATTCACCGTGGTCAACTTCTTCACGAATATCATTCTGACTGTGGTCTTCTTTTACCTACTCTATCCGGTCGTAGGGTTGCCTGGTGCATCTACTCTTTCCAGGATCTTCAAGAGGAAGTCGAGTCAAAATGAGGCTACAGTGCATGGAGGACAGGATACGCCAGCTAGAAAGAATATCAAGACACTGCTGTGGAAGAGTATCATTGGGTCGCTCTTGATAGAGATACCAACGGCGGCGAACATGGTACAATTCTTCCTGACCAGGGGCGAAGAGCTGGGCATGATATGCCTTGCGATCTGCTTGGTGGACGTTTGCTGGGACGCTCTTATAATCCACTGGCTTACATTCAATTCTTCGGCGTCGGCGGCAGAGAAGGACTTGTCGCGATCGACATTGGTGTCTGAAGATGAGATCGATCCGATACAGGGACGAGTCCTCTCCCCATTGAGAAGTCGCGACGAAGCCAAAAATATCACGCAATGCACGACCGAAAAACCAACAGACGCACACATGGCCGGGTTTGACTTCTCGTGTGAAGGCGCTCGAGACTCGACGGCTGAGCTGATAAAGCCGGCACCTGTCAAACAATGACGATACATAACATAGCTCATCATATCATTCCATCGAAATTGTTTCCATGTACAAACCCATATCAATAACCTGACTTTCCTGGAACTATGCCGTAACACGGTCCGTCCTTCCCAAACATCTTCTGTAGATCAGCAACGATCACATCTGGTCTCTCATGCGCAGCGAAATGCCCGCCCTTATCGTGAACACTCTCATGAACGAGAGGACCTAGTGGCAGATCAGTCAGTATAGGCCACAACCTCATCGTCACGAGGATAACTCACCCAAAGTCTTCGCCCATACCCTCGGCACAACAGTAATCTCTTTAGGAAAGTGCGCAACACCCAACTTCACACGATCAATCCACGTCGTCGTGCGCTCTCGATTCGGAATCAGATCCGTAGGATTATGTTGCGCTTCGTAGTAGATCCTGACATGCGCATTGGGCCCTGCAGTGCTGAACCAGTATACACTAACCCAAGTAAGCACCTCGTCGTCAGTCCAGGGATAGCCATCCGTCCAGTCAATCAGCTTCTCGTAGATCCATGCCAGAAGAGCGACAGGACTATCAGCGAATGCGTAGGACAGCGTCTGTGGCTTGGTAGATTGCAACTGGCGATACGCTTGGCCCTCGTTGAGGAACCACTCCGAGCGCTCGATTCCTTTGGCCTCGGCCTCAGTGTAAGGAGTAATGGCATGCTGCAGAGCGAGTGCCGGCTGCGATTTGAACGTAGGTGCTTGCGCGCGCACCATATTGATGTGACTCGCCAGCACATAGTCGGGATACAGTAAACCCATCGATCTCGTGACCCAGAACCCCCAATCGCCACCCTGCGTAACGTATTTCTCGTATCCGAGGTCTTGCATCAACCGATGGCATGTCTCTGCGTATTGCGACAACGCAAAGCCAGGCTTGCTAATCTTCTGACTAAACCCAAAGTTCGGTAGAGACGGCGCAACGACGTGGAATGCGGTTTTTCCTTCTTTCTCGCCGGCTTCGAGGAGCGGAAGTAGTTTTGTTACTTCGAGGAAGGAGCCTGGCCAGCCGTGGCTGAAGAGGAGGGGTATGGCGTTGGGGTTTGAACTTCTCTTGTGGACGAAGTGTATGTCGATTTGGCCGAAGCCTTCGATTTGGACCTTTTTGCGATAGTTGGGTAGCTCGTTCATTTTGGATTCGGCGTCTCGCCAGGAGAAGTTGGTTTCCCAGTGTTTGGCTAGACGCTTGATGTCAGAGAGGGGTGAGCCGTAGGGCCATTGATCGGGTGTGTCCAGTTCATCTGGAAAGTCGGCGTCTGAGAGCTTTCGTTTGAGCTTTTCGATTGCGGAATCGGTGACTGGAATTGTGTATGGTTCGGGTTCTGAAGTCATGATGAATGTCTAGAAAGGGTCGCGAATGTTGAAGTTGGCGATGTTGCAGGTACGCTCGTCCGCTCTCTAGGCTACCTAGGTATGATGACCCCTCTTTTACATCTCAAAGCACGACAGCGCCCTTTTAGCTATCTGTGTACGCCGGAATTGACGTCACGAATTAAACATGTGTGGTTGCCTTGTCTGCTGCAGCGAGTAGTCACCCTTTACAACGCTTACTAACGTCGCGCCTGCAGCATGCACGCGATCTAGATTTCCGCTGGGGTAGTTTTCCTTTTTCAGGATCATGCATATTTCGGTCGAGTAAGCGCAGGTCTTGGACCAAAGTTTTGTAGTCCTGCTACGCGCAAGTGATGATCTTGTCACTCAAGCTGAGCGCTTGGTGGTGGGTGAGATGACGCAGCTGGGTATCGCGAACAGTCGCTTAACCTTGGAGAAGTTGAGGGGCTTGTTCTCTTTCAGTAGTATACCTTGCACGGTCTAAGCAAGCGACCAGCTACCTGTCACAGAATTGCAATGGGTATAGCTCCAGAGCAACTTTGTCCAGCAACGATTATGTTTCTCAACAACTGGGCGAATACTCAATTTTCCGCAGCGTCCGTCGAGTCCCCAGGCTCTCTTGACGTATGTGAGATCGATTGTAATGTTTATCAACAAATACTCAGCATTATCAATTGAACCGGGCAGACGACACAATAACGTCTGCCAGAGCCGAGCTAAGTGTAAGGGCCGTCTACGGTAATTACACAAGAGAATAGCAGTACGAGAGCGCCTTCGTCGCTTCCACTGCGGTGAATCGGTAAAAGGGCATCGTGATAATTTGCATAAAAAGAGTGCATTACACATCCGTAGCGTCTGTATACACTATGGGCGCTGGTAGCTTTAATCCGAACGAAGGCATGGTAACCCTCGTGTTCTCATTTCGGCGACACGATGGTGCTTACTCTGACGTCACTGGGCAACTTTCCAGCTTCAGTGCGACCGAATGCAAACAGCCACCGGGAGATTCTGACGCGTGACAAACACTGCGAGTGAGCGGCGAGGTAACGGGGTGGAAAATGCATCAGGTTTAGAGAGTAACACAACATAACGATATGAGAGAAAGGGATCAAGTTCGAAGTATTAGGTATCGCATTATCGGTTTTAGGTGGTTATACAAGATTCGATCCATCCATCCCAACGTGATTCCATTACATCCTAACCATGACTAACTAGTCAATCCGTTCATGTTTGCCACTAAGGGCTTGAGGGTATCTACAAAGCGAGCATGGCAAGGGCGGCGGCACCGAGGATACCAACAGCCTGGGTAGCCTGAGCAGCGGCACCGGTGAACTCGGACATGGAAGCAGAGGGGGTCATGCTCATCATGCTCTCGCTGGCAGTGGGGGTACCGGTCATCATGGCGGAGGACATCTCGGAGGCCATGGAGGAAGCGGCAGACTCAACAGCGGAGGAGGCCTCAGACATGACGGAGGAAGCCATGGAGGAGGCAGAGGCGGCGGCAGAAGATGCCATGGAGGCGGCAGCGGATGTGGCGCTGGCGACAGCAGAGCTGGCCATTGAGGGAGCAGCGCTGGCACCGGGGATGTTGATGGGAACACCGGCAGCCTTGCAGGTGTCCTGGACGGCGGAGATGGCCTTGGCCTGGTCCTCCTGCTCGCAGGCACCCTGGACGCAAGGCTGGACCTTGCCGAGGAGCTCAGCACCCTTCTTGCAGTGGCACTCGAAGTCGGTGAGGGAGGAGCAGCCGTCGCTCTGGAGGGGAGCGAGGAAGCATTGAAGCTGGAAGGTGTTAGTTTGTGATGAGTGCAAAGGTTATCATGGTATGACATACGGCGCAAGATGGGATGTTGCTGAGCTGGGCAGTTCCAACGGAGGCCAGAGCGGCGAAGGCAGCGATGGTGAAGGTCTTCATGTTGACGGTTGTCTTGGTGTTGATACTGTGATCGGTGTAGTGAAAGTTCTTTGATGTATGTATAACGACAGTTGAAGCTTGCAGAAGCTCGAACAGGAGGCTCCCATAAGCTCTTTATATCAAGCGGAACCGTAGGCCACCCGTGTCCAGGTGAGAAACAAGCTAGCACCCAAGTGGCTCCACACTGGGCGTGTTGTTCGCCCCCGTTCGAGATCTTCAAGCAGCCCCTGGAGGTATTGCTCGATGTGGTAGCGCGCGATGACACTACCCCAGACTACGCATCGCTAGCTGCGGCTCGTCGAGGCCGGACTTGTGAGGGCAGAGTCTATTGCCACACAACTAGGCGCGGCGCGCCTTGCCAGCGAATGGTCGTGAATCATGAAGATTGAAAGAAAGGAGATAGTACCGCGTAACTTTCTCTACATCTTCTTGAGTGTCATGTAGAGATTGCGAGGAGCGTGTAGTGCTATTGAACCGAGTAAGAAGCCATCCGATCGTCGATTAGACATCATTGGTGAGGATTGGTGTTGGGCGACGGCGAGCTCCAGCATTGAACAGGGATCGAATTGATCAAGGCGCCAAGAACCATGCCGCAGAGACTAGAAGCTTTTGCTGATTGGGTCTCATGAGGCAAGTGACGGTGCGGCCGTTCCCATCTAATCGCTTCCGGGACTAGTGCGAAGCGAGAAGATCCGGGGCAGCCCTGGGGCTGTGAAGCCATGCAACGAGGTAAAATCACCCACTATCTTCATCCTCGCTTTGCGCAGATCCTCAATCGTCAAACTTTTCATCTCCAGTCCGGCTGGGTGGCCATTGGACGGCGGCAAGCGCAAATGCGACACAGAAATCGATATATGGCGCAGGATCCAGTGTTACAAACCCCGCGACATCTCGACCATTCTCGGCCAAACATCCGGGATAATCCATGCTTACACCCTTTGGCTAAGCTCGGTCGCGCAGGAACATGGCTAACCCGCCGAACGGATGCGCCATCCGAACGTCCACCGCTGTCTGCGAAATTCCCGGCAAAAAGACGGTGGCATGGCGTAAGACTGGCGGCCTTGTTGTACCTGCATTCGTGTGTCTAGGCGGCTGTAAGAAATATGCTTGTGTACTCCTATCCTCAAGACACGAGATACCTACTTCTAGGCACAGGACACTTTCTTTTGAGTTACTTTGTGGTGGGTGTGCCGCCGATACGACCTTGTTGTTGGAGTGCAAGGATTTAACCGTTCCTGCGTCATTTCGTGCGGAGGTGGCTTTCCTCCTCTGGAAGGATCTGACGACTCGGTCTGGCTCTCCATTCAACTTCCTCGGCAGCATGTGCTTGACCGCGCGCCGTTCAGCTGCTTTTGCGCAATCCTGGAGCTATGAAGCGGAGAACCCGGAAGATCTGGGGAAACAAGCATCGTCGCCGTGACCGCTGGGTTTTCCGTATCCACACGTTCGCGACGGTTTTGCGCAGTCATAAACGTGGTCGCGATGCAGGAAACATGTGCGCGATGCTGACAGCATCTGACATGTGAGCTCTGCGGCGCAATATTACAGTGTCATGCTGTACGAAGGAGAGGCTCACTCGTATCCCCTGCATGTCCCGCACATTCTGATGTGTGCACGCGAGCGTTGGGCATTGGATCGTCTAGCCACGACGAGTATTGGACGATCCGAAGTTGGTACCCATGTGAATAACCAGATGAGGGCTCTTACGTACAAATTACCGGTCATGTAACCCCATTGAGCACCCAGCATTGCGTCCTGGGTTCCCTACTGCGGAGTAAGACCAGTCGGCTCCTCCGCTTGGGATGTGTGCATTGGACCTTCCATCCAACCGCTATAGACAACCTTCATTTACTCGAAGCCTAGATTCTTTGCTTCCAAGGCTTGTTGAGATGCTCAACCCAGATCTCGGAAAGGTGGGATACGCTTTAGTCGAAAGCAACAGTGTTATCCTATCTTGTCGACTTCGTTCAGCTTTCGCGCTCGAGCTCGATGAATCTTTTCGTATGTAGCTTGGGTTGGGAATTTTGTGTTGGCGTATGGCTATTTATATGCAACAACCTAGAACGCCTTTCCAAAGTAGTTCGCAAACCAAAGTTAGATGGTTGTGAAGTTAGCTGTCAACAATGAGTGTGATATGATGCTTGCATCGGTGTACGCTTGGTATCGATGGATACTGTGTTGCTTGCAGCCAGGCGTCATTGATGGTCGGCGCGAAGCAGTCCAGGGCCACGACACATTTTCAGCCTGGAGATAGGTACAACAACCACATACTCTTTCTTGGCAAGAATCGTCCAGGACGGCAGTCTTACAAGCTCCAAGTCTTGTCCTAGACGAGGCCGCCGTACCACAATAAACAACCCAGGCAGCAACCATTCTGACGATTTCCGCAATAGGGATCGGAAAACTGCAAAGACTGCGTATAGAATGCGACAGATAGTTTGACGAGTTAAGCAATACTTAAGGTAGCAAGATGTGTTTTGGGTAGACACCGTGGTGAGAGAGCGTTTGGGCAGCGGAGATGATTAGATAAGATAACGCTCGGCCTTAGCTCGGCTTAGCTCACAAGGCGCGCTAGTGAAACTTCGCGATGGAGAGTCGACGACCAGCAGTTGGCCTTCAGCATCACCACATACGTCAACACGTGAGTCTCTCCTATCACTGTCGCCTCAGTCGCGAACAGCCGCAGCTAATCTTGATGCAGTAATCCTCCCCTCCTCCACATCACGTCGCCAACATGGCCGAAACCGCAGCTTCGCGACCTCTCAGCACGGCAGAACAGCTTATTCGATCCTCGTCGAAACGGACACGCGAGATATTCGCCGCCGATTTCGCGTCATCAGCGGCACTAGATCACGCTTCAAATGGCAGCTTCTCGATACACCCAACCACGCCAGCGCCCTCGGCCGCCGCAGACCAGGCCAGCGTCGCATCGCGCATTCGCAACGAATATGAGCATGTACGCGAGCTACCACCCGCGCTAGCTGCTAAGATGGCCAGCGCAGCATCTACAGCGGCCGAGCGACGCAAGAAGATCAAGGCACAGAACGCTGAAGAGAAGGCCTCGGACCCCAAGATGCAGAAGATG